GCTCCCACTCAGCTCCGCTCTCCACATCAGAACTCGGGTTGTGTGCCATGGTCCTTTTGGTTACACCACCGATAAATTGTGCCAGGTGGCCAGCTGGCCTTGGGAAGACACCTGTGCTTTCAAAGAGTAATTAAGTTGACTTGCACTCAAAGCAGCAAATGCTTTGAACATTGGGGCACACCAAGGAGAAAAAGCGCCATGAGGTGGCAGGATGAAGCCCGCGTTGCCAAGTTTCCTTGACACAACAAAGAGTCTTTAAGTCCAGCCACACTGTGTGCTTTTCTCCGTGATGCTTTGGCTGGCACAGGGAGACTAACAGACCCGTCCTCTCTCCCTCGCCTCCCTCTCTCTTTAATTCAGTAATATGTATCTGGAGCACTGCTCTGTGGCTGAGGAGATGCTGGTCTTCATGGTACACTAAGTTCTCATTTATAGGATTGCTGGGTACTGTGCATTAAATTGCTGTGTGTTTCCTTTTTAATCACAGGCAGCTGTTCTACCTGTGTTCGCTGTTTTGATGCTCTCGGGAGCTCTCGTCGTAAACCGGTGAACAGCGCAAAAATTTTCCATAGAGGGGGACCTGGCGGTCTTGTACTCATGGATGGCATATTTGTTCAGGGCAAACAAGATGTTTTCTGCTGTGGGTGCAAAAGCCACTGCTTTGAGCTGAAAAACGAGCGTCGTTTTGCCCAGAATGACCATCTGTTGAGGATGTGCTTCCCCCACCCCCTGCCGCCGCCTTTAACGCAAGGAATCCTTATAGAATCCGTTGCTACCTCTGGTGCGACCCGCCATGATGGTAGGAGTGATGGTGGTCATTTTCTTACTTGGAGACCTTCTGGGGAAAACGTATGTCGTAGTACAATGTGGGGAACATTTTTGTTGCTTTAACTGTTTCCTTATGCTCTGGGATGGCACTGGCATGCCTCCTGTGGCAGCCATTTTGTGGTGGTGCCCTGGATCGTTCTGCAAATTTCCAGATGTGTCTGCAGCCCAAGAGTGTTGCCTACCTCTGCTGCTGTTTTTCGTTGAATTGATCTTTAAGGTCTCTTCAACCTCTGCTCTTCTGTTATTCTACCTTGAGTTGAATGGGGCAGGAGAGACATTTGGTGCCCCAACAAAATGTGAGCTGGATTCCAGTGAAGCACTTGGGTTTGAAGGCATTGCGTGGTAGGCCAGGAGATCCAACACGAGACTGGTGTGTGAAGTTGAAGGCACCAGGATCAGTTGGGGGGCACCCCATGGCTCTCCCCACTGCTCTGTGCCCCAGACGCACGAGCAAAACAGTGCCTGAAGTAGCAGCTGCTGGGAGCAAAGCCCTGTTTGCCCTTCTGTGCAATCCCTAAACATGCCTGCTTCCTTCAGGCTCAGAGGATGCCTGCTTGCGTCATTACAGCTGAGAAACGGGTCCATCTGCCAGCCCAGTTTCTTGTGCACGTGGGATGGACTGGGGCACCATCCTTTGCTGGAAGTGGCAGAAAGTCCTGGGCCAGTCCTGCCGGTCCTGCCTGAGGAACATCCTTCCTGACCTTGTGGGGGCCTGAAGGTGTGGGCGATGACTCCAAACTTCCATGGCCATTAGCTCTGCCGTCTTGGGCTGACGGGAGATAAGGCCTCAAACCCAGGAGAGCCTCGGGTTGGGGAATCTGTTTTAGTCTGTGAAAGCAAGGGTGGAATATGGGTCGCGATGTGGGTTGTGAATGTATCCAACTGAGCCAAAGCTTTGCTGGAGTTAATGATGCCTCTTTGATGCTGTAATACTATCCAGGAAGGTGTATGTCCAATTTATCAGACATGTCCTAAGATAATGAGATTCTGGATGTTAGTACTTGATCGGGCTAGAGGAAATGACTGATTATATGTTGCTGTTAGATCTGGTTGCTCACAATCTTTGGCCATGTGAGATCATAATTGGTCCTGCCAGTAGATATGGAAATGTGTATCCATCTCCTTGCTGCCAATAACATGGTTATTAGTTATAATTGGGGGAAGGCAGGGAAGAATGGGGGGAACGGCAGACCTTCTGTTCATACCATGCGTAAAGTGAGGATGAGATATACATCAGAAAATTGTCAGCTCTGCTGTGAGAGAAAGTAGGAAGTTGGACACGAAAGAGAACACGCTTGCAATATACTGAAAAGGGCAGGCTCCACTGGAACCCTGAAGCCCAGCAACTGGTCCCTGTTGCAAAATATTGGCTCAGGAAGAGGGACACGGAGAACCTCGTCCCACTTGTGCTTGGCGGATTTTTGTCACCTTGCCCATTTGAGAGCTGAAAGCAGGCTGAGTTGAGGATTTCTTCCTGGCATCCCCTTTTAAAACAAGCTGCAATTTGCATATTTTATTTAATTATTCTTTTAAGCCAGGGAACTGTGCCTTAATTCTGGGCTCCATTTACAGGCAGAGAGTATGGAAACTGAGCAAAGTGGGGCTGGGAATGTATGCACATCTTTTGAAAAAAGCACATCATGGTTTGCTTTAAAAGTGGAAGTCAGCACACTGGCTTGACTTGGGCCAGAACGAAGGCTACAATTCAAGGGGTGGCCCCCCTCTGGTCTGCTTCAATTTTACCCTTCAGGTGGGTACCTGAACTTCATGGAAATGAAGGTGCCTTCGTGGAAGGAGATACCTGGAGCTAAAGCCCAACAGCCCAAGTTTTCATCTCCAGAACTGGATCTCAGGCACTAATCCCGTCACACACAAATCTAATCTTGCCCCCCATCTCCCACCCCCTTTTTTGCCTAATTGAGGAAGGGGCTATTTTGGGGAGGGGGGAATGTGGTCCTTACTTCAAAACCATTTAGTGTTGGAAATCCCCATGGATCTCCTGCAGGTCTTCCAGAGATCCAGCTGCCCGACTTCTCTACTCAAAGATGAATTTTGCATTCTCCTGCAGTGCTCTTAGCTGTGAGAGGACTCATCACCTCCAAGCTGCCCAGGGCAGGAGATTGATTGCATGCCGTTCCTTTAGATCTGATTCCCCCCACGAGCCCCCGCTTCATTTCAGAGAGTTCACAGGTGCAGGATTCTTCTTGTGTTGATCAAGTCTGCACTCCAGGAATAATAAATTGATCTCTGAACTTCTGAGTCTTGCGTGTTTACATTTATGTGAGCGGGCTCTTGCAAAGCATGGGTTACCTGGATGCTTGCTGGTGCTCTCAATAGCAAAGCTCCAAGGCTTCAGTGGAAAACAACTCCATCTTTGAAGCCAAATCAAAGTAGCCTTGGGGCACCATCTTGCAGGTTGTGCCCTTAAAGATGGAAGCTTGTAAACTTGGTGGCTTCCATGGACCCAGTTCCTGGCCAGGCTGAAGTCCACAGGGCAGGTGGAGAGGAGCCTCCCCATCTTACTGCTTCATGTGGGCAGGGGGCTTGTAATTCTAGCAATTGTGCTTCAGAGAGGGAGGGAAGGGGAGAGGAAGAAGCACAGATAATTCCAACCAGGCCCTCTGCAGCCTCCTCCCTAGTCCTCCTGCAGGATCATCTAGTTTTGTTCTCTCCCCGGTTCTTGCTGTTCCGGGGCAGGGGAGAAGCCCGACCACCAATTCACCCTTCCTGCCATGAGCTAGGTGTTCCCTCCCAAGCAAGACAGCCTCTCCAGCATTTCTTTTACGCGTCTTTATTCCACATAGAAAACTCTAAGCATTCAAGAGATGTGTTGACCCCCCTCTGCTCCCTTTACGCAAAGCTTTGCTTATGAACCCTTCGGGGCCAGTCTCTGGAAGGAAGGGCGCTGTGGATCCAGGCGGCCTGTGTTCTACCCTCTGAGCCTCTAATTGGGCCAGCCTGCAGCTGTGACAACAGGTCCTTGAGTCCCTTTCCTCAGGAGGCTGGCATCCTCCATCTGAGAGACTCCCCATTGCCAAACCTCCTCTGTCCTGTTCTTCTTCTGTTTCATCCCCACTGCTGGGGAGACGGGGGCCCTTGGGTGACCTTGAGCTACTTTCACCCAGAGCATCTTGGACTGGTACTGTGGGAGGGAGTCTGCAGGTGCAGCCCTGCCTGTTACAACCATTCCATTATCAGAGTGTGAGCTCTGAGCCTCGGCTGGTTCAGCCAACTCCCCAGCATCCTCAGATTCTGAGTGATCAGACCCACCAAACAGGCTGTCTCTCATGCGCATTTGGGAAGCTCATCAGAGCACATGTGCACAACACTTCTAAAGTAAGGTGACGTCCCTGCCTGCGAATGGGGAGCCCATGTATCCCATGGCCCCTCAGATGATGTTTAGGGTCCATAGGAGTGTCCCCGTACTGATTTACTGTGGATGGATTGATCAGCTCCCTCGGCTTCGATGCACCATGATGTAGGAGCACAAGCTGGCATGAAAGATCTTGGGATACACTGCAGGCAGTTATTCAGATTAACCTCACTTTTTATTTTCTGTGCTGTACCATTAAACCTATTTCCAAAAAGGGAGATAGATATAAAGGGGAATTGCGTATTAAGAGGTGCAGCGAGAGAGCAGGAAGCCAGTCAAAAAATCCTTGCTGCTATTTTTCATCAGGCCCTCCCTGATTTTCAGAGAAAAAGAAAGCAAAGTAGATTCACCCCTTGACAAGGGAGAAATTTGCTTGCTCAATGCTTTGGGTCGCTGAGCAATGTTGACCGAGAAGGAAAAAAATAGAAAGCACATAGCATTGCTTCTCCTTTTCCTTTGGATGGTTTTTTTTGGGGGGGGCGGGTAATCTTTTTTCTTTTACACGACCATTCCACACCAGGAACCCTCTAGAAAAGGGCCATTTTTATGTCCCTCTTCGTATGTGCTTAATTTTTGTATTTTGTAGAGAGAGTGAGATAGAGCGAGAGCTGGCTATCTGTGCTATGCACAGAAATGCATTTTAATGATGCTGAAAATGTGCTGCCATTGAACACCATCATGCAAACCCACACGGAGTACTTATGCAAGGGAGCGTCCCGTTTTGTTTACAGGGATGGCTTTTGGGATAACTTCTGAATGTTTGTGACGACTCTTAGATGTGTTTTGTTTGCTTTTGAAGGCACACGACGCAGCAAGAGACCAACAAAACTGTCACAACTTGCACAAATGCTATCCGGCAGTTGTCTGAGGTCATTCGGGGTTCTTCTAGGGTAAGTGGTCTTTGAGATAATGTCTGGTAAGAAGCGAAGGCATGTATAGAACTCCCTGTCCTTACTGAGTTAAATGGGACTCCCAGGTAAATGTATGAAGGGTTCCGCTGATGCACGTTCTGAAACTGTTATAATTTGCAGGGGGTGGAATTCTCAAGAATGTTCTACATGTCAGTATTTCTTAAAATCAGTCAGCCAGTCAATCAAAAATGAAGTCACATGCTCTTAATAGGAAATGTTTCTATTATTCTCAGTTGGTATTTTTTCTTGGGGTTTTCAGCAAAACAAAACCATAAGATAAGTAGATAGATATGTATACAGGCATACAATTTTCTTGCATAAATTGTAACAAATAATGTATAAGAGGTACAAATGAAATGTGTACCAGATGAAAATATAGCTAAGAATAAAAACAACCATGCAAAAGCTTCAAGAAGTCTTGAAGCTTACGCATTGCAAGTGGTGTCTGATTTTGAAAGCACAAAATGATCCACAATCCTCTGTATTGAAAGTGGGCATTTATGTTTCCACTGTTGTGAGACCTCAAAGGAACACGGAAAGTTTTTTGATGTTGACTTTGTATTAAGATCCAAGTAATGCTAATTTAGTAGCAAGTAAATGATTTAAATTCTGATGCTGGGAACGATTGATAGAAAAAGGAGAAGGGGGATGAGGTGGCTGGATGGAGTCACTGGGGCGGTGGGTGTGGGCTTGTGTGGACTCCAATGGATGGTGGAGGACAGGAGAGCCTGGAGGAGTGTGGTCCATGGGGTCGTGATGTGGGGGCACAACTTTGTGACTAAACAACAACAAAAAATAATTTAAGGGAGCATATGAAGTAGTGAAGATGAAAGAACACTCCTATGCAAAGTTTATCCATATTATAACCTCCTGCCAAAAAGAGGCAGCTAGTGGACATTGCCAAACATTTGGGTAAAAGAAGCTTCAGTGCATCACACGTCCGTTAGTTACCTGATTCATACAGGTCCTCATTAAAAAGATGTTGTGGTGTCCAGTTCACAGAAAAGAAGTGTATTTGCTGAATAAGATGCAACCTCAGATCTGTGCCTCTGCGCAGATACAGAAAATGGCAGTGCTTTCAAAGGCACACGATTCAGCAAGAGACCCGCGAAGCCTTGCTCCTTGATGTGCCCAGCACAGTACTGAAGTCTCAGGCGGCCCTTTGGGATGAGCTCCGGGCCACCGTGGTGCTTGGGGCAGAGCCACAAAGTGGGCTTGGTGGCACAGGGGCCTTTCGTCAGCTCAAGCGGATATGCCGACTGCCACCTCTCTGGACAGAGGCCTAGTGCAGCTACCCATGCTTCGGTAACTTCTCAGGAGCAGCTAGATTTTAATGGGGACTGGCTCATGAGAACCTATTATGCCGGTCTTCTTCCAGCTGCCCAGGCCGCCAGTTCAAGGCTGGGCCTGATTGCAAGACAAGGTAAGAATGTAAGAGAAGTGCTGCTGGATCAGACCCAAGGTCCATCCGGTCCAGTGCTCCATATCCACGGGGGCAAAGCAGCTGCCTGCAGGATCCGTGCAAGACCCCTGCCTGCCCAGCATCTCAGCATGCAGGCAGGCCGGCCACCTCTGGTGAAGGAGGAAGCCCAGGGCCAGCAAGGCTACTAGCCACGGGAGCCTCCTCCCTCATGATTCAAAGTGCTAGTACTAACACTCCAAGCCCTAAATGGCTGGGGGCAGATTATTTATTTATTTGTTTATTTATTTAGAAGGCTTCTATGCCGCCCCATTCGCCGAAGCCTCGGGGCGGCTCACAATAATAAATAAGGACAGAATAAAACAATATAATATGAGTCGACCTGGCCCGAAAAATAAAATAGATAAATAATATTAACAATTAAAACAGTGTTTGAATAAAAAGCTGAAGATTAGCTGAAGAATCGCCCCATCCCCTGCCTGGACCCTGCGATCCACCTTCAGGGGTCCTTCTCTGGGAGCCCTTCTAGAGCACGTGAGGTGGGTGACTGCCAGGAGGTGGACCTTTGGGGGCAGAACGAGCCGCCCAAGGAGTTGTGCTTGCAGCCTGCTTTGTATTCTTGTTGACACCCAGGTGAAGACCCTTTATTTTTCACAGTTGGCTTTTTCCACTGTATTTTTAACACTGCGTTTTATTCCGTACTGCTGCTCTGTTACTAAGCAGATTCAATCGCTGTCGCAGTTGTGGTTTTCTTGTCTTAAGCGAATTAGCTTTTGCACATCTGTGTGTGCGTGTGGGGGGTTGAGAAAGCCTCAGCTATTGAGCAGTATAAAAATGAAATAACTAAATTCTGAACCCCTGTTGACTGTTTGAAGGTTCTGCATGGCCAGGACCACATGGTTCCTGTAAAAGATCCAAATGCCCTGCGAGAACTGACCAATTCCATTTCTCCTGGTAGAAGATGATTGCTACTAGAAATAAGCTAATTGAAACAAATAAAAAGATGGTGATTAAAGTATGCAGCAGTCCTTGGAAACACAGCACTTTTTTTTCTTTTTATGCAGCAGTAAACTCTGGGATTATTGAGTTAGCAAATGAAACCTGAGGTGAGATAAAATGAAAGATTCCATCTCACAGTCTTTTATCGAGATGCAGGAAATAGGCCGTTTCTTGTCCATCCGGAGGCATTTTCTGGGACACAAATTGGGTCCGATGGGAAGTCAAATGAAGAGAACTTACACCCACACAAAACTGCCCGCCCGCGCATGCATGGACACGCACATGCCAAAGAGAAAAGAGGGAAACCACAGTCGTTCTGGACATTTTAACGTATTTGCTATCAAAGTCGGGAGCACAGTAGAAGCTCAGCTGGAGTAAGACTGGATTGGAGAGAATTCATTTAATCTTAATAAGCACAATATAAAGATAGTGTGGTTTATAAAAGCAGGAAGCTTTAGTCTTTCAGCTCAAGAAACGGTTATACCGCACCATCTTGCATCCCATAATGACTTTTGATGCTCCCCATTTATTTATTTATCAGATTATATTCTACTTTTTTTCTTACGAAGAACTCAGAGCAGCTTTCCTCTTCCTCCCCCTCCTCCTCCTCCCAGTCTTTTCCCCACATCATCAACTCTGTGAGGCAGGTGGGGCTGAGAGTCTGTGTCTAGCCCACCGTCACCCAGTGGGCCCCATGGCTGAGCGGGAACTAGAACCCAGAGCTCCTGAGTCCTGGTCCTGCACTCTTAATCACTTCACCGCACTGGCTTTGTGTTAAATTAGCATATCGGCTCTGTACCATTCTGGGCTTCCCCCTTCCCTTGTCCCACCATGTTACTTAAATAATAAAACCTGATTTCTTTTGCCCTTCTACCAAACAAATGATTTGGTTGCTCAACGTTCCTCTCGGGAATCTCCAAATGATCTTCTAAATATAGGTTCCTGTAGAGTGAGACACCCTCTGTGGATCTAAAACATGTACAGATGGTCTCTTCTAAATCCATTATGCCATGTACTGTTTCATCACCTTGAGGAGGAGACAAAGGAACATGTGGGGAGGAGGTGGGAGCATCACTGGCTACCGGTCCTGATTGTTGTCCACCAGGTGCTGGGATACTTGAGTGAGAAGGTACTCGTGCACCCATGACCTGCTTGTGGGTTTACTGTGGGCCACTGTGTGAACACAATGCTGGACTACATGGAACTTTGGTTTGATCCAGCAGGACTCTTATTATATTCTCATAAGATGTTTCTTACCCAGAAGGCAATCTAGAGCCAAATTAGGAGTACTATGAGAATTATCCAAGAATGGGAAAATCTGTCAGCGGCACTTTATGTTATTCTGGTGTTACTCAGAGAGTGGAAGACGCTGCATGTAGCTTGCAGGCTGCGTGTTCTCCACCTTTGGTTGAGAAAGCAGAAGGACCACCTGTGTAGTCCTCTAAGAACTAGCTTTGGAAAGAATATCCAGCATCTGCTGCAGCACCGAAATAGGGACACTACAGCACCTGGGACTGGGGAATTCAGAGCTAGCCCTTGTCATGGGACCACAAGTGTGTGTGACTGACTCTGTGTCCTCCTCTTCGAGGATCAAAATCTTCCTGATATCTTGGAATTAGATTTGTCCTGACTGCAGCCAGGCTCCCGATAGCATGATCCCCTTACTCATATCAATTTTCTCCTGCTTCCTGATAGAGTATATTGTCAGATCAGCTCTTCCAGTTGCAAATGAGCTTTTCCCATTCATGGCCACTTCCCTGTCCATCTCCAGTGCAAAGGAAATTGAGTCTGGGCCCCCCTCTGTCGGCAAAGGAACCATTGATCAGAAACAGTCTGTGCGAGAATTCCATGCTCGCAATGAATGCCGTCTTTGCCTGTTTGCAAATTGCAAACAAAGGAGCGCCCTTCCATGCTTCTGGGGTTGGCACAATGGGACACAGTGCTTTGATTCAGGTCCGTATGGCTTATTTCGAGACAGACCAGGGACTAAATTTGTGAAATCTTATTTATCAATATTGGGCAGTTTGATTGGCATGAGCTATAGGTAAGATTTGACCCAAGATGAGCTTTTAAAACCAGGAGTCAAATTGGAATCAGGTTGAAATGTGGCTGCCAGCATCACACCAACATGTTCTGTTCTCTATACCAAACGCCTTTGAAAATGGAAAAAAAAGGGGGGCTGGGCTTCTCATTCATTCATTCATTCATTCATTCATTCATTCATTTCAAGCTTGTGTATCCCATCCTTCCGCACAAGCGCTCAGGATGGCTTACATAGTATAAAATTACAATAATACAATAATAAAACCACCATTATTAAAAACATATCCAGTTGAACATTATAAACTAAAAATAAGAAGGGAAAAATAAAATAGGAAATGCAACTGTAAACAGAAAAGAAAACAAAAAATCTTAAAACGTCTAAAACCCTTGATTATTAAAATGATGGTTGAACGAAAAGGTTTTTACCTGGTGCCAGAAGGAGTGTAACGTTGGTGTCAGGCGGGCCTCTCTGGGGAGCGCATTCTATAGCCTGGGCACCATATACTATTAATTATATGTTTACCTGTACCTTGGTCTCTCTGACAATTGTGTACGGTGGGTTCAGTGGAGAAACAGTGATAGACCAAGGTTGCCTGGAGGGGTTCACAACCGAATGGATCCACATCTGGTTTCTCATGTCTGTAACCAATGCTGGCTGTGGTTGGCCTTTTGATGGCCAAAGGAATTGGGCCTGCTGGAACTGCCCAGGAAGGAAGGCCCAGCCAGGAGAAACGTTCCAACATGGAGGATGCCCTGGGTTGGCTGGACCACAAGCCTTAAGTTCATAAGGAAAAGTCACTCACTCACTAGGTGACCTGAAGATAGAGTGGGCATTATGTGAAAGAGGCCAGTCGTAGTGGTTCTGAATTCCTCCACCATCTGTATTGCTACAAGTAATCATTCCAGAAGATCATCCCTAGAAATACAGGCGCTGTGGCAACACAAGAGCACTTGGCTCCAGAATGAGGATAATTACCCCTTAGTGCAGCCTCCGTAAGAGTCCTCATCTTGGATGTACGTGGTGCCTGCTCTCATAGTAGTCATAGAAACAGTTTAAGACACTCTCTCTTACGAGTTTCCTAACTCTGGGCAGTTTCTGGCACAAGTATGATGACCTGTTACCTGCTGATGGTGGTACTTTGTCTTCCTTTTGTTACAGCAAGAACGACTACAGCTGGACCGGCTGAAGAACCAACTTTCTGATGCCATCCAGCGATATGGCACAGTCCAAAAGGTAATGGGTCATTCTAAGATCTCACCTTTAAAGTGAGCTCTTTTTCTTGGCTGGCTAGCTTACTCCACATGACGAGGAAGCAGATTTAACACTTAAATATAGCTTGTTGTCTTGAACCTTAGCTGTTATATCTGACTACTTCAACCAGGCATTGAGAAGCTTGTGGCTGCCAGATATCTTGGCCTACAGTTCCCATGAATCTTAGCCAGAAGAGCCAGTGTTGAGGCAGGATGGGAGTTATAGGCCAAAACATTTGGAGAGCCACAAGCTGCCCAGTCCAACCTTGACAATGCTTAAGGACTAACCACACCAGGGAAACTGAGATTTGAACTGGATTTGCCAGCTATGATTTATGTTAACCAGGATCAACACTGTATCTGCCACAGCAAACCGTGTTCATGACTTTTTCCCCTGCTTCCTTGCTTGCGAGGCTGAAGGTCTTGCTGGTATCTTGCGATTCATGCCTTCTGGGGACAAGAGTTTGCACAGACAAGCTGAAAGGCAATGTCACAGTGTATGTTTGTTCAGGGATGAAAGGATACCCACAGAACCCTAAAATTAGGAAGGACCAGATACAAGTGTCATGATCTAAAACAAGCTGAGGACAATCCGACGGTGAGGATAGGAGCACGGGTGGTGGACAGAGATCACGTAAGGAGGTTCAGGACTGCAGAGAGCAGTTTTGTTGCTGTGAGCGAGAGGATACTTGGCCTCCACACTGGCTCCCTGCCCTTGCGTGGTCCCATGTGGAGGACTCAAAGCACAGCATCCCTTCTGGGCACTACAGCTCTGTCAGTTGAAGGTAGCGTTGGGAATGAAGCTCAGTGGAATCCATCCCTCTAGCATTAGTGGACCTTTGTGCATAGCCCAGCTTTAGAGCTGAGCGGAAGTCTGCAAACTCGTGTGGAAGAAGGTCATGCAGCCGGCACCCTTCTTTGCGTTAGGTGCAGCAGCACAAACAAAGGCTACTGGAGGTGATGCGGAAGACGGAGGTGGCTAGCACACTGCAAGGGCTTGCTTCCTGCAGAAGACAGTGCGAAGGCTTAGCACGCTCATCAGGAGCTCCATCCCAGGGCCACAACAAAGTGGATCAGAGTCTGGGGAGCTGAGCCCATGGGATCCAACAGATTCCCCAACATCCCCATCTGGTGGAAGGACAGTGTTCTTTGCAGGAACAGCCTCCTTCTTGAGGTGGTGCTTCAGGCTGAAGAGACCTCATCTGTGGGAGCTTAACTGGGCGCTCTTGGTCCAGGGGGAGCTGGTTGCCCATTGCCCAGAGTTTATAGACAAAAGTGCACCTTCAGCCTTCAGAGGACTCGGTGCAGAACCTGGAATCAAGACTCGTACCTGGACTGGGCCAGGAGTAGCTCCCCCTACTCCTTGTCGCTCCTCCTGCTCACACTCTGGGTCCAGGGTAGGCTCCGGATGGAACTCACCAGAGCCTGTCCCTCGAGCATTTCTCAAGACTTCCTCTTGTGCTCAACCTGGTCTTACAAATGCTCTCGGGACGAAGTAGCGCAACGGCATCCTTCTTCCGTGTCGGGCGCCATTGCAGGTGGCATGGAAGAGGACTGCTGTATGGGTGGTGATCCTGCGAGGCCCCATCCCTGGTGGGCCCCCAAGAACGGCCTTCTGCATCTTCAGGTGCAGCAGCGCTCATGCGGGGGTCTCTCCCATCCCCCCATTCTCCAGAGCTGTGTTTAAGATGGCCTGTTTTCATTTCCTTCCCATCATCTTGTGCCAGCATCATAAATACACCTGTCCCAGCATTTATCTTCCACCCATACTAGACTGATGGAGCTGGAGGTGACGCATTGACCAGTACTCTGTGCTCTGCTTGTTCCTTTCTGTACTTCTCTCTTTCTCCCTCTTCTCTCCTTTCTCTTTTCTGCAACACAGATTTCCTCAGTAGCCAAGCATGCTATTTTCTATGTATATATTTATTTTTAATAAATTACCATGTGCCAAAATTACCCTTTGCGTTTCCCCCCACAATGGCCTGGTTGCATCCAGGGGGCTGTTCTTGAATGGCAAATTGCTACTTCTCCGCATGGATGGCTGCCTCCTTTAAAGTGCTTTTGATAACCCTGTCACCCTTGAAGTATAAATTACTTTTTTTCTCAAAGGCCTACCCTTTCAAAATAGTTTCCCCCTATTCTTAAATCACAGGATTAGCTCATTTCCCTCTTTATCTTACTTTATTTTATTTTTAATGTGAATGCACTTGATTCGTATGCTGTTCAATATTATCCTGAACTGTATTTCCATTTTTCGGTGTTTGTTTTTCTATCAACAGAAAATTGCCGAGAAGTCCAAAGCTCTGCTTCCCAAGGGACAGAAAAATAGGAAGCAGGTATGTGCAATGTTGATTCCATTTAGACTGCAATCCATTTTGAGCAGGTGCACCAACCTCTAATTTCTTTTCTGGTATTAATCACCAGTGTTCTGCATAGTGCAACATGTTCCTTTTGACTCTCGTTCTTTCCCCTCATCCTTGACTCCTAAATGCACTTTTACTTGAAACAAAGGAAAGAATGTTTTGAGTTTTTTTGACTTGGCTGGCAGTTCCCCTCTTCCATGGGTGTTGAGGAGACTCATGTCACATCTCTCTGTCCCCTGTCCTCCATGGCTAGAAACATAGAAACATAGAGCTGGTCAGAAGGGGCCTCCTGGGCCATCTAGTCTGACCCCCAGTGCCAGCCGGCTCCTGAAGCAAGTCTGTAGTGAGGACCCCATTTCGACTGGAGGTCCCCTGGTGAAATCTAAGAGAAATTGCCCTGGTTCCTCAGATCCCAAAGCAGGATCCAACCAGATATCCTACATTTCACCAGGGTGCTAGCGAAGCTGGCTCTTCCCATGGGATTGCCACAAAAAGGAAAATGTTTGGGTGGAGGATGGACACAACTCGGGACTTGTGGGAGAAAAAGAAGCTTGTCATCTGACAAGTCCCAGCTAGGGGCCAATGAATGTGCATAATGCCCTGGGCAGTAATTCCGTGGGGGAATAGGGTGGGAAGTTTAGCACCCCCCCCCCGTGAAGCTCTTAAGTCCCTGATGGCAATATGCTACATACTATTACAGCCTATATCCATCTATATCTGCAAAACCTGAACAGGTGGTTGCTTTCACATGACCTGCTTGTGGGTACAGAATGGCCACTGTATGTACAGAACACTGGTCAAAATGGGCCCTTGCCCTCATTCGGTGTGGCCCTTCTAATGCTCTTGGGCTCTCCTTCAGTCATTCCTGGGGGAATCTCTGCTTTTCCCTTGTAGTTCCCCCTGCAGGAGTGGTGGTCCGGAAAACTCAGAAGGGCAACCCATTTAAAAGAAGGCAGAGAAAACAAGTTTACGGCACACACTTTTAATTTCCATTATGTGTATCTGTAGACTTGCGGATACGCAGATTTGCATCTATTTCTTCTTGATCTCCTTTGTCTTTTTAATATACTTTTTCTGCTCATTCCTCTGTAAAGCAAAATAAAACCAGGAAATTGAAGGCATAAAACCTGGGCTGCTGTGAGCGCAGTGTAACTGTTAATTTTATTTTTTCTCATGTACAATGGTCAGGGAATTCACAAAAGATGGCACTCTTGGCGCCAGTAATTCAAGTACATTGTGCATCTATTGAGGTGGTAGAGTTAACACCCTATATAACATTAAAGAAGGCCACGTATACGCGGAAATGACTTGCGCTTCCTTGGAAAACACAAGCTTGCTCATCCAGATATGGGTGTTGATTAGATGAACTAGGTTTATAATTTACGTCTTGACCATGTGTGGCTTCATGGTACCCAGTAAGGCCAGGAAGAACAGCACTGGCCTGGACATGTCCGACCTAACTCAAAACGTACATGGCAGTGGTACCTTGAACAGAGATGGAAGCCAAGGTTAGGGATGTGAAGTGCAAACCAAAGCCTGACTCTCCTATGCTCAGCGGACGTCTCTGTCATGCTTGGCCCCGGCCAGGAATGAAACCGAGCTGAGAGCAAGTCCACTTGGACTCCCCTCCTGCCGGACACCCATACAGACATTCAATACAAGGCTGAGTGAGGGCAGAGGGAAGGCCAACCCATGTCCGGGGGGCTGTGCTGAGGCAATCCAACACATCCCCACCCCAAACCCACTTCCTCCCACGTCAACAGCCAGCCTGTTCCCTGACACGTGAGTCCGATCCAGAGCTGCAGCTGTGCCAGCTGCCTTTCTCGTTGCTCTTTTGAAAGCCCAGGTTCTGACCCACTTGTGTGTGCGACAACCTAAGTAGAACCGTAGCTGGATTCTCCCTTTGTGCATAGTTTGGACCTTGGCTTCCGCTAGGGCAATGTTGATTGCTGAATTGCTGAACGATGAATGGATCAAACCGCTGCCAAAGTAACTCACAAATCGCAACCCTCCACATGCCTGGGGCTGGGGGGAAGGGCTTGATTTTACGGCAAGGAAAGCAGAAGTCCTGGCACTTTTCCTCGGACAGGCTGAGCACCAAGCAGGATGTATCCACATTTGTAAATTGTGGCAAAGCAAATGCCAGTAAGAGTGCAGTCGATGTGATTTTTCCTTTCGCGTAGAAGCGGCCTATTTGTACAAAGGCCATTTTCTGCATAAAATCTGTATTTTCATGCTTTAGCCTATGGGGGTGGGGAGGAATTGCATATTTTGGGTGCATGGTTTGAAAAATCTTCAGGGAGGGAGGCATCTGGGAACACAAACGAGGGAAAATGAGCTGCAAGGAGGAAATTGGACGAGCTTGGATATATATGGCTTGCACTCCTGTCCCCAGCGCTCACCAAGGGGCGTCGGACTCCATCTGCAAGGACTGGGCTGGCATAACTCTGCAAGGTTAGGTTTTTAAAGACATGCACGCTGTTGTTGCACAGCTAGGTTAACGCTGGAGCCGTGGGAGGCAGCGGCTGGGAAGGAGGATGCTACTCAATCCCCCATGATCTCTTTCGTGCTGCTCTCCCCAAACCGCATTTGCGACGGCTTTAAATCAACTCTCGCCCCCTGCAAAAGGTCACGCGGTTACCGGGGAAATAAATGGGAACCCTCATGCAGCTTGTCATCTCATTTCGATGTGAAATGCAGCATTATTTTAATATCCGCTGGGATGGATTATTGAATGGGAGGGAAATGGTATTCTTCTGAACCTTTTAGGCGGTAGCATTTAGAACATGATTAAAGGGGAAGGCCCCCGGTTGCTCATTCCTTCCCGGAACAGTGCTCATTTTCACGCCTTTCCTCCACCCCAGAAAAAAATATTTAAAAAGTGGGTAGCCCCTTGTGCTGCTGGAAGGACTGTATCGAAGCAACGTTAATGGAGTGACAGATACCAGCCTAACGGTTAATTTTCACTGTTGTGATGTTTGTTTACCTTTGTGATTAATGTTCGTGGGACCCTGTGGGAAATCGGCAGACTTTGTGAGATTTCAGATCCAGCGGGGACATGGCGCTGCCTCCTTGCCTCCCCCTGCTCTTCTCTCCCTGCACTCTTGAAACAGATGTTTTAAACAAATAAATAATAAATAAATCCTCTGCATGGGCAGGGTGAAAAACCCACCCACGCACTCCCCTGACCAGCTTTCACACCCCTCTCCCCTTCCTCTTTCTTGCCCCAGAGCCAAAATGGGGTAGTGGTTTAAAGGTCTCTTATCTGCCCCCTCCTTTGTCATAGTCTCTTTTCTGTTGCCCCAGATACCGGTCCGAGCTGTAGGGGGCACTGTTGCAAACCAGGGTTCCTCCTTCGCATGTGCGAAAGCCACAGACCATTTTCATTGCAAAGCACCGTTGGTTAACAAAAACAAAGCAAAAAGTAAAAAGCAAAGCATGCAGAATGGCTCTCTGAGCATGCACAGAGTAGTTTGTTGAACCCAGTGTGGTATGCACCTGCAGAAACTCTCCTTATGAGCACTCCTCAGCCCCATCCCTTTGGGAGGGGCCTTCCGAAGGTGAGCACACCTCCCCTCCACGTGCTGATCCTCTGTAAATGGACCACCCTCCTCTACTGGCATCATGAGGGCAAGCAGCATGTCCGCCTCACCTTGGTCTGCACAACTCCCCTGCGCCAAGGCCCCTGTGCCAACTGCACCTCTTGCTGTTCCCAGAGATTCCTGCCCAACTGGGGAGTCTGGCCTTGAGATAAGCATCTCTGTTTCTCATCTTGGATGGTCCATATTCCCAGGCTGCCTGCTATTCGGCTTCACATTCTGACTCTGATTCCAATTCCTCTGCAGCCCAGGCAGTGGTCCTTGAGAACACGCCACCAGAGCGGCCCCTTCTCTCACTCCCGGCAGGTATCCTCTTCAACTGACTTGCTTTAAGTGCTCTGTAAACACAACCCCTCCCCTGCCCGCTACAATCCTGTGAGAGAGAGGGGCCGACACAAAGACATCCAGGGGCTAGGGGGCCCTCGGATGTCTCACAGGGCCTTGTAGGTGGTGGCCCAAAGGCTGCTTTGCAGTAACTTCTCTGAGTCCAGAATGGGGCACTCTGCCTCTTGAACAGGCAACGTTCATCTGGAATAAGTACAAAAGATGGGTGGGGAGCTTGTTTCGGTTCATTTTGATACAAATCCACAAATTGCGTCCTATTCAGAAAATACTTTTCTAATTCTTTTTTGTTTGTTCATTACATTTAGCGTACGCCTTTCCTTCCTTGCAAAGGAACCCAAGGTGGCGTTGCCTGCTCTTTTATTCTGACATGTTCCTCATCTAGAACAGCTACATGGCAGGTGGTCCAATGTGGCCTTCTCCATGCAAACTGTACCTATTTAATTTGGCCAAAGCAAATAGGTGAGAATGCACGGTTGGTTTGTTTGGGGGATCAATGTCATAATTCAGGATGGGAAGAATTTGTGACTTAAGGAAAGGATCAGAATGCAGGAAAAATGAACCGCGTGTGTTTTTCCAACCCTATGCGCTCCACACAGCCAATCAGAGCAACATTGGAAGGTGCTTCCAACCAGATGAGATTATTGGCCCACTGAGCCCCGTGCTGTCTGCACCATCTGGCAGCAGCTCCCCTGTGTCTTAGGCAGGTGGTCTCTCACCTCATGTGCTTCTTGCTCTTTTTGAACATGGAGATGCCTGGAATTGAACCAGGGACTCCGGACATGCAAACAATCTGCTCTTCTGCTGAGCTGTAGTCCCTTCCCAGCTATAATGTCAGAGCCCTGTCATCCCTTCTCTCCCCTCTCTCCTTCCAAGCAGATTAAGAAAAGAAGCTTCTAATTATATCTTGACTGCCCTTGTGCTACAAAGAGAGTCTAGCACTGGTCAAAGACTTCAGTCAAATTAGGAAGCTTCATTAGGAATCTTTGTTAGAAAGATTGCCACTTGATTTCAAACCGAATCCTTATCCTC